ACATAGCATCTTTCCTCGCCTCTCATCTCCCCTCCTCTCTTCCAATCCCTCTCAGATGGGACTAGGACCCACCCTACTCCACTATGACTCCATGTGAATTTAACTGGTAAAATCTCAAAGACCCTATTTCCAAACAGGGTCACATTCAGAGGTACAGGGTTAGGGCTTCAACCTGTCTTTTTTTCCCATCCATAACACCCATCCTGAGTAATTCGATGTGTATGTATTTATAGCGATTGCATAGAGAAGCCCATGAGATCAGGAGCCTGACAACCTAGGGCTCTGCCACTCTGGACGACAAATCGCTTAACCTTCAGATACTTAACATCTTCATCTGTAAGGTGGGAGATAGAAGCCCCTACCTCTTCGGGTTGTTGCCTGAGTATGAAATGAAATTTTATGGGGAAAGAGTTTAGTACTGCACCTGGCATAACTTAAAAATTAAAAACCAACAACAACAAAAAAAATAAAAACCAAACCTGTTGCCATCGAGTTGACTGCAACTCACAGCGACCCTATAGGATAGAGTAGAACTGCCCCATAGGGAGTCCAAGGCTGTAATCTTCTTTGAAGCAGACTGCTACATCTTTCTCCCACGGAGCAGCTGGTGGGTTGGAACTGTACCACCAGAGCTCCTGGTGCAACTTAGGGGCTCTGTAAATGTTAGTCATTACTACTATTAATGAACAATAATGATGACAGCAATTACTGAGTCCCTACTGGTGCCAGGCCCCTGTCTGGCTCTGTCACAGTGGAGTCGGGGTGGAGGTGGGTTTTAAGGTGCAACGCTGGCAGCACACAGCTCTGAGCAGGTGAGGATACCGTAATAAATGTTGGTCTCTCCTTTCTGCCCTTTACCTGGCCCTGAGAATCAGCCAGGGCTCTCCCCACCCCCTCCCTGCCCCTCCCTGGGTGCCAAGAAGGGACAGACGCCCGGCCAGTCATCCGGCCTCCAGTCGGCCTATTTCGAGCACCTGACTCACCTTAATTATGGGCCCGCGAGCACTTTGGGACACGCAGGGGGCACCCGAGACGTCCGAGGCGCTCCGGAGATATCCGGAAGCCTGAGCTCCGGGGGCGGCCGGACATCCCGGAGCTGTCAGGTGCACTGTCCCCTCCCGGCCCACCCCATCCCCGTGGCTCCCCGCAGCGTCCAGTCTCCTGCCTGGAGCCCCCGGCTGGTGTCCCGGCGTCCGCTTCCTCCCCGGCTTGCGCTGGAATCGCCACCCTCGCCTTCTCCCGCACACACGGAGCCGGAGTCCACCCCACGTCCGCGCCCCGGTTTCCAGGCCTGGGCGGGGATGCCCCAGCGGGGGGCCTGGAACGCCGCGCCCAGGCGCTGGCTGGCGCGGGATCCCGGCCTGCCCACGCCTCCTCCGACTCAAATGTATATTTAGCCTCATTATCAAGTGTTTGCAGTGAACCGTAAGAACTGCCTAATAGCGGCTGGAAGTGAAACTCGACTCCGGGCAGGAAGAAGCACGTGACAGAGCCGATTACTGGGGATTACCCGACGGGGAGGGCTGGGCCGGCGCTGTGCCCCCACCTCCAGCCCGCGCAAAATTGCGCTGCCTGGCCTCGCAGCGCACGGTCCCCTCTCCACGCGCAGCGGGACGCGTGACACCTTGCAAACCCAAAACCCATTTCCTCCCTAGGCCACCCCAGCCAGCCTTCTCCGGACGCTGACATCCCACGGTTGGAGCTGGAAGGGCTGGGAGTTGAGGACAGGACGCCAGGGTCGAGGGAGAGGGTTGCGTGGGGCCGACTCGAGCTTGGTTCCTCTTCCAACTTGGTGACCTCCAGGTCAAGCCAGTTCTATGTCTCGAATTCCTATTCTCGGAAACGGGCACTCTAGGGATCCATGTCTTCAGAGGTTTAGGCGGAGGGTGGCGCGCAGCGGGGCAAGGGTCCCTGTCCCACACTACGGCGGCCCTCGGGGCTCGAACGCGCATCGTGCCCGAATTGTCCCCCGGATGCAGTCGTCGCGCGACTGCAGAAGTTTTTGCCACCCTCGCGCGGCCGCTGTTGTTGTGGTCGCCATGACGACCGGCCGCGGTTTTATTTTTAATAGCGGCCGGCGAATCTAGAGCTGCCTGCGCCGCTTTCCCCCGCCGCCCTCGCGTCTCGGGGGTGATGCACCCCTGCTACTCACTCTCGCCCTGGCCAGACAGGTCCAGAAACGCCGGGGAAGGCTTTCCCCCTTCTGGGTCCCTAGATCTCCTTCCCGTTCCCAAACTCGAGCTGGACGTCACCGAAGCGCCAGGCCGGGAGAGGGGCGAGAGCCAAGTGCCCACCTTGGCTCTCTAGGGGGCGGTGGGAACCCCCCGGACCCGGCAAGCCTCTGCGCAGAGGCTGGGACTGGAAAGGTTCCGTGCCCTCCTCCGCAATACCACCTTTCTCCACACCCACTGCCAAGAGCGGATCACCCAATAAAGAAGGTACTCAAGGGTTTACTTGTGCTTATTTACTAATCTGTAATGCACAATTTCACATGGGTTTCACCACGGTTGATGTGGTGAAAAACAAGTGAAATTGTGCACTACGGATTAGTAAGTAAACACAATTAAGCCCGGGCGTACCTTGCTTACTGTAAGACTGTGCTCGTATCTTGTTTACTGGCTAATCCGCCCCTGCCATTGTCACACCCCAAAGAGGTGTCCTTAGGCCAAGAGGAACCCAAGGCTCTGCAGGACATGAGTGCTTAACTCCAGGGATCCATGAGCTGGACATAGGCCATCGAGACTCCCGGCCGTTCGCCTCCGCCGCCCTTCACAAACCGTCCAGTGGGTCTCCCCCTCCAAGGCAGAGGAAGGTTCCACCTGGACAGACTAGACCAGGCTTCAGGCGCTTCTAAAACGTCTCCAAGTTTTCCTGAGCTCCCCTCGTCCCCACCCCCACCCCCACCCCCACCCTCCTTTTCCTGACCTCTAGGAGCGCGTGTTTGATCGCAGGGGCCCAGCAGGGGGCTGCGACCCAGCGAGGCAGGAGGGGTGAGGGCCGCAGGTTTGTGGCTGTGCGCGCAAGGGCGCGTGTAGACCTGGGCTCTCCTTGGAGCGGCATGAGAAGCCCCGCCCCGCAGGTATCTGGGGGAAGGCGAGCGCCCCCGAGCGCCCTCCGGACCCGGCCTTTGAAATGCCGGAGCCGGCCGAGCCGGGGATGAAAGACTGCCCGCGGGTCTGCGCCTTTACTGCCTTTGTCTGGCTGGAGGGCGGCCGCGGAGGGACGCGGCCCTAATCCACAGGATGTGGGCAGGGAAGGCGAGGGGGTGGAATTCTTCTCCAACGCCCACCCACTCACCGGGGAGTCCCCTAGTCTCTAGAGGGTTTGGCCGTCTAGCTTCGGGGGCCGACGGTCGGCCAACCCCCGGGTCCTGGTACCCGGGCCCGTCCGCCCCCTCGAGGCAGGGACACGGTGAGGGCTTCCGGGGCCACCCTCCAACTCGCTCCCACCTGGTCTAGGCAGGCGTGACCCTCTCGGTCCAGGCGCCCCAGCCTGTTCGCGCGGAGCGGTCTGGCCGTGCTCGGTCCTCGGCCTCGGAGCGCGTAGCTTTCACGCAGAGCGCTGGGTGACGCGCGGTGGCCTGAGGTGGCGCTCTGCGCGCCCCGTGGATCCCCAGGCGAGAGGCCCAGACTCCGGGGGTTCTTTTGGAGCATTCGCTTTCCTTCCTTCCCTCCCACCCCCTCGGTTCCGCTCAGGGTGCGGCCCGGCTTTCCGCACTGGGTCGGGGCTTAGGGGCGCGGGGTCCCAGGGTGGGCCTGCAGCACGCTGCAGCCCCCTCCCCCGGCCTGCGCGCTCCCATCTGGAATGTGGGTGGAGGCTCCTCATTCCGCGGCCCTAGGCGTCGACTACCGGGCGGGGGCGCGTGGCAACCGCCAGGTGAGTGCCCCAGACGCGCCCCCAGGCCCACCCCACCTCGCCCCAGCGACCCAGTGCCCTCCTTTTATGGAGAAAGGAGGTAGGGGCTCCTGGGTCCTAACGGCGGTCAGAGGCCGAGCGCCCAGGGGGAGGGGGCCGTCCCTCTTCTGCCCTTTTTGGCGCAGCAGCTCTGGGCGCTGTCCTTTCGCCGCCGCTGGGGCCGGGAGGACAAGCCAGCGCCGGAGGCGCTTTTGCTGCGGCCTCCTCCGCTCCCCGCAGTCGCCGGGTGCCGCAGGATCACAGCTGGCACCCGCGGGTGGGCAGCCCGAGGGCGCGCGGGGAGCCCGGCCCGGCGCCGGGCTTGGAGCTGGGTCCGCTGTCTCGCTGGATTATGAGCCCGGGGGAGCCGGACTGTGTGGGCACTGCGGCGGCGGCGGCGGCCCCCACGCGCTTCCGAGG